TTTTTTCAAAATTTATTTTATTTTTAATTCAGGGAACAAAACAAGCATTCCATAACACAGTATAATACATTTAAATTCTTGTCACCATGTTAATCACGTTAATTGTCATTGTCTCCTGCTTGTACTATTGCAACAGCCTCCAAATTGGCCTCCTTGCCTTCGGTTTCTCCCCTCTCCAATCCATCTTTTGCACAGCTGCTAAGTTGATAGTCTTAAAAGCATATGTCTGACCATGTCTCTCCTCTACTCAAGGAGCATCTGTTGTTTCTTATAGCCTCTAGGATAAAATAGTGAATTCCTTTGTTTGGTATCAAAATCCCTTCACAATCTGGCTCTGATCTATCTTTGCAGACTGATTTCACATAATTCACAGGATAAAAAAAACCTCTCAGTGTCATAGATTTCGATGGGAACTTAGACATTGGACTTTAGAGTCAAATCATTTTATAGTTTATGAACTGGGGACCAGAAAGTTTTAATGACTTAGATCACCTACGTAATAAGTGGCTCATATGTTCCATATTCTAGCCAAACTGACTTACTGTTGTTCCCTAAATAAGTCTCTCCAACATCTGTCTCCATGCCCTTGCATAGGCTACGTCACCAATGCATGGAAGGCTCTTCTTCTTCCCCCATAGCTTTTGGAATCCCTAGTAGGTTCCACCTCTTACAAAAAACCTTACCTAGATGTCCTCCAGAATCCTTTGCATTTAAATTATTAGTATTATTATTATTATTATTATTATTATTATAGTAGTAGTAGTATTTACTTGACTGGGAACACATCATTTCCCCCTAATAAAATACAAGCTCCTTGAGGGCAGGCATTGTTTTATTTTTGACTTGGTATACTCAGTATCTAGCATAGTACCTGGACCATAGGAAGGACTTAATGAACTCTGGCTGCATTTTTTAAATTGAATTGAAATGGACAACAGACATGGAATGGACATCTTATGTATTAGTCAATAAATACTTCATTAATATAGACCAATCGAAAAGGCCATTCTGACTTAAAGAGTGCACATACATACACACACATATACATTTAATATATACATATACATATATATATATTTGAAATTTCAAGTATGTATAGTAACACATTGCCAAGTTGAACTCCTGCTAGACCTGTATTAAGTGAACAAATAAGGACTATTTATTATTCATATTATAATTTGTATATATAAATGGTTTCTGTTATACACTCAAAGTTTGTTTTCTTGAGTATATTAAACATTCCCCCTGCAACCTTCTTTACATTATTCATTTGCTTAGGGAACACTTCTTTTTCCCTGAACAGTACAAAATTTAACTTCAGCCCATTCACATTGAATTATCACACATTTTGAAATAGTGGAGCCTGAAATAATAGCATTCTGTTGTGCATGAAAGTAGCTATTAGGTCAGGGTATCAGAGACAATTGCACCATTTGGCCCCAGGCAGATGTAATTATTTTTATCTCCACCAATTATTGGAGAAGTAATATACCTAACTTGGGTTAGAGAGGTTTTTTTTTATTTTTTAAAGGCAGTTGTAGTCCCTGGCCTTTCCATGACTCCTTATTTTATCAGAGGTTACCTGGCTCCATGTCTTCCTTGGTGGAAAGGGTAAATAATGGAGATCATTCAGCGGCAACTATAAACTGCACTATAGATGCCAGATAATGCTCCCTCTGACAATTTGATGTCCTTTGTCAGTTTCCAGGTCATGGGATAGCATTTCTGTCCTAATGGTTTTGAATAGATATTGCCAGGAAGATTTCCTGAGGTCCTGTAGTTGAGTCCATGCCAAGACCTAGTGAATTGACACCTGGGTGTTTCTCTTCATTTATCTGCCATTACGAGGAAATAAACATTCAGAATGGCAGCAAGCCCCCAATTGTGTTCAGCCAGTCAGATTGCTAATGGGAACTGATCTGGAGAAAAGACCTAGCTCTCAGACTGAATTAGGGAGAGTGTGAGCCAAAATAGGGAGAGACAAACAGCTGGTAAGTGCTTCTTTGGGAATGTCTTAGAGTTTTAGGTACTGGGAGAAAGCTCTGTAACATTTCATTTAGCCATTTTGTGATGCTCTCAGTTCGTGGGAACATCCTTTGTGACTGATCCTGGCTTCGTCTCTTTCTGGTATTCCTAGCAGAGAATATGAGAGAGTCTCAAAGCATATTGGAGTGACGGAATATTATCCGTATCTTTTGTTTTCCACAGTCGTTTTGAAATCTGTCTACCCCTAGTATTTCTTACAATAAAGAAAAATCAGTTAAACAAGCAAACAAACAAAAAAACTGACGTGGTGACATTATTTGACAGCAGATACTACACTCTATCCCTGTGGTCCCCACCTCTTTGCCAAAAAGAAGTAGTGATATTTCATTATTTCTTTCCTATGTCCAAGATTAGACTGAAATTTTTCCAGTAGTACTTTAACTATAATGTAAAGCCAGAGATCTGTTTATCAGACCATCTGCCTTTGACGAGTGCACTAAACCAAAGAATGCTACAAATTCTGTCACAAGCAAGAGAGCAGATGGTACATTACAAATTCCTCGCTATTGTCTTGCCTGGGTTTGTCACATTTCATTCTATTTGGAGGATGTATCCATGGCGTAGGGAGAACATCCCTGGGAGCAGTTTGTGTTTCTCTATCCCTCCTCCACTGTCCCTTCCTCCTTTATTTCTTCCCGGGATTGATAACTACCAGAATGCCTAGGTTGACTACCCAGATGGCTTCCTGCGTAAGGGAAAGATGGCAGTGAAACTCCTGGAGATACAAGCAATGCTACTTGGGTAGCTGTCTTTGACAAGACTAATTATAACAGTCTTACTTTTCCTTCTTTACAGAAGCAAATCCAGAGAAATTCAACAGTCGCTTTAGAAATAAAATGTTTTATGCAGGGGTGAGTATTGACCTTTCTTCTTCTTATATTATTTTCCTGTTTAAAGTTATTTTAGCTGCAGTAACAAAATGCTTCTCGCTCCATGGAGGAAGTTCTGTTCCTATGGTTGATCAAACGCATCAGAGAGGAGGTGTGGAGATATAGGAGAAGGAACACTTTGACTAGGAGATAGAGGACGTTGGAGTACAAAGATTTAAGGATTCAGTACACTTATGTAAATTAGAGATCTCATAGCTTGGCTGGGAAAAAAACCACTGCCATCATTAAGGTACATACACATGTATACTATATACACACATACATGCATATATAAACCTACCTACAATACAAACACACATATATATGCTTCAATACTTCAAGAATTCTTGATTTCTTTGGTGAGTAATCACTTCTACAACTTTTGATCATTTAGTGGGGAACTGTTTAGAATGATTCTCTTCAAACATAGCTATATTGGTTCTGGACAATGAACATACAGTGTTTTTCACACATTTATCTTTATTGCTGTCATTTTTTTTTATATCACCTATGTTTCCTGGTGTATCCCATCCTCCTCTCCTCCCAGAGAACCACCACTTATAGCAAAGAAAAAAAAATTCAACACAACCAACCAACATATCTGAAATGTTTGACATTAACAGGCAATGTGTCACATCCATAGTTCACCTCTGCAAAGAAGTAGAAGGAAATGCTTTCTCATATCTCTTCATTGGGGGTGGCATGGTGTATAGAGTGCTAGATTTGGAGTCATGAAGACCTGAATTTCAATCCCACCTCAGACATTTGCTAGCTGTGTGACCCTGAGCAAGTCACTTACCTTCCCTCAACCTCATTTTCCTCATCTGTAAAATGGGGATAATAGCATTTCCTTCCTAGGGTTATCATAAGGACCAAATTAAATGAGATTCAAATCTTGCCTCCGATGTTTATTGATATGTGACTATGGAAAAAATCATTTCCATTCTCCAAGGCTCAGTTTCCTTTTCCATAAAATGAGGATGATAATAGTTTTTAAAAGCCCAAGTGCTATTCCAAATGTTAGCTATTATCATTATTCTTGGTCCCTCTCAAAAATAATAAGAGCAAAGCCTCCAATGCATTGGCAATATCATTAACAGCAAATGACACTTAGATCCACACTGACTGCATCTACTATGAAAAAGTATAGTCAAGAATAATGCAGGACGGGGGGCAGCAAGGTGGCGCAGTGGATAGAGCACTGGCCCTGGAGTCAGGAGGACCTGAGTTCATATCTGGCCTCAGACACATAACACTCTCTAGTTGTATGATTCTGGGCAAGTCACTTAACCCCAATAACCTTGTGTTTAAAAAAAAAAAGAAGGATGAAGGATGAAAGTGCATGTAAGTGTTGTCTGTCTGTGCTGGTAACAGTGTCCTCAACAAGAAATTTGAGTTCCTTCCAAATATCAAAGTGCATCTTTTTGGTCTGGGAATAAAGGGCTGGGGAATACGTCTTTAGTTAGGTAGGTGGAGGCAGGACTCGTCCTATTTGTTGGTTTTTTTCACTTTTTTCCTCCTTTTAAGTTTTAAAGCCTTTGAAAGCCCTATGTTGGCTTTGGAATAGCTTCAGAGAAGAAATTGAGGAGGGATCTGAGAAACAGAATGGGTGGCGTGAAGCAGTAGATGGGGACGTGGCTGGGAGGGAAGGAGGGAGATTTAAGTAAAGGCAGAACTAATATAATCTGCTGTTGGCTCAGGGATCTGTCCACAGGGTTTCTGAATAAAATGTTCTTGAGGTGGATTAACTGATTAGTGAGTCTTATGTGCTGAAATGGGAAAATCACAGTTGAGTCAGGAATAAATGGGATCTTCAGAGTCTTATATGGAGTTGTAAGTCTGCCTTAAGATTCCCGGGTCCCTCCCTCTAAGAGCTGTGGTGAGGGGGTGAAGGGAGATTGAAGGGAGAAGGAAAAAATTCCAGAATTATATTTTGGGGAGTCTGGAACTTAAATGTGCATCATTAGATAGGAAAATTAGGACCTGAATAATAGTGACAAGATAAATATTATTTTCCCAACAACAGAGAGGTGAGAAGGCCAAGGAACAACAACCCCCCCAAAAAATATTATGTAAGTGAATTTAGAGTAAGTCCTTGAAATTTGCAAAATATGGAAGTCTGTTCACTTCCTTCCTTCCTTTAACTGTCTTTAGTCCTAATAGGAGGAAAATTTGGTAACTTTGCCCTAGCTAGTGCCATTCATGTTTATTGTTTATAGTCTCGAAGACAAATGTACCTATTTAAAGCTAATAAGCAACTTTGTACAGGTGTTGCAAAAGATGACTTCATGTTTAATGATTACTACAAGAAATGTGAGATGAACATTAAGTTGCAGAGCTGGAGATGGTGTTAGTGATTTGACACACACATGCACATGTATTATACATATATATATATATATATACATATATATACATGTGTGTATATCTATATATCTATATATCTATATCTATATATAGATATATAGATATATAGATATATATATGTATGTATGTATTTTTTCTTTTCACTTTTCTTTCTTTGTTGTACAGGCAGCCTTTTCTGACTTCCTGCAGAGAAGCTCCAGGGATTTATCCAAACATGTCAAGGTTGTGGTAAGTACAGAACATGGGAAACGGTCCCTTCTTACTCTAAGGGTGAGTCCATTTCATAAAGTAAAACATTACCTCTGCCTGTGTATGTGGAATTGGACTCACAAGGGGGCAGCTAGGTGGTGCAGTGGATAGAGCACCAGCCCTGAAGTCAGGAGGACCTGAGTTCAAATGCGGCCTCAGACCAAACACTTGACATGTACTAGCTGTGTGACCTTGGGCAAGTCACTTAACCTCAGTAGCCTGAAAAAAAAAGAATCGGACTCACAGAATACTAGTGCTAGAAGGGAATTGAGGAGCTAATCTAGTCCACCCACATCATGTTACAGATACAGATAATAGCTAACATTTATGTGGCACTTACTGTGTGCCAGACACTGTGCTCAGCTCTTCAACAACTCTTTGATTATCATCCCCATTTATAGATGAGGAAACTGAGGCAATCAGGTGTTAAGTGACTTGCTCAAGGTTGCACAGCTAGTAAATGTCTGAGGCTGGATTTGAACTCAGGTCTTCCTGACTCCAAGCTCTATCCACTGTATCATCTACCTGCCCTGAAGAAACTCAGGATCAGAAAGGTGACTTTGGCAGGTCACTTAATTCTTAGGGCCACATCATCCTCATCTGTAAAATGAAGGTGCTGGACAAGGTAATCACTAAGGTGCCTTCTGCTACCAACATTCTGTGACTCTGTGAAGCAACTTGTCCAGGCTTACCCCAGGAGTTAGTGATGAAGGTTTCATATCAGGTTATTTGATCATAAACCTTCAGTAATGCCATTCATGCATCTTCATGATGACTAGGTGACCCTGGGTGGTTCTCAAAGTTATACCTATGAAATGCAAACTCTACTAGGTCTTCTCAAATTGTAAAGACTTTAGGTATGAATCTATGGATTTATCTGGGGGGAGGATTGTGGTCTGATGTCCAGCTCAGCAAGGCCATCAACTGGCTTGTCAGCCATATGGTGAACTTCTTCATAGCGTCGATCAAAAGGCATCTACCACTGGAAGTGATTGAGAGGGAGCATCTTCCATGATGAAATGACAGATCCTTGACTTTCTCAAGCATCTTGTCACAGTTGTAACTTTTATCATAATTCAAAAGAAAAAACAATCCATATAATCAACCATGCGAAGCTTCTTTTACATAGCGTAGAAAGGCAAAGTTCCACCTCCCAAAATGCTGCCGTGCCAAATAGAATGCATATACATTTTTTCATGCTAACCCTCTACTTAACAGTAATATGATAATATCCTACTGTATCATGACAAGCTACTTCTAAAGCTAGGCTTTTTGCATCTTGCTTTCATCAGTCCAGAACGTACGTCTTTCCACAGTGTAATTTAAGATTCAGATTTGCTTGATTAACTATAGAATTTGTATTTTGGCTCTCTACATAGTGCCCTTCCTCTTCTTTCACATGTAGTGGATATTTTTTGAAAGTTGTATTGCTGCCTTTTGTACTTTATACCACAGCCACTGGGTAATATACAACCCTCCCCCATGGGACACTTTTTAACAACTAGGACACTTTTTAACAACAACAGTAACAAATTTAAGCAAAGCAAAGTGACAGTAACCATATCTGACAGCACATAAAATATTCAGCACCCATAACCTTCTACCTGATCACTGAAAAGAGGGAAGTGTTTCATCATCTCTCCTCTGCAGCCAATATTGATTATTGCGTTTAATCAGAGTTCAGATGACTTGTGTGTGTGTGTGTGTGTGTGTGTGTGTGTGTGTTTTAAATTTGCACAGTGGTATTTGTTATGTATGTTGTTCTCTTGGTTCTCCTTCACTCTTCTTTAGTTCATTCAAGTCTTCCCATGTTTGTCTGAATTCCTTGTACTCTTAGTTTCTTCTACCCCAATAATGTTCCATCGACATTGTGTTGTGCATCTTCTTTTGGTCCCATTCCAATCTTCTTGTTCTGTACCTTCTAACAGACTCTTTCTCTCAAAACTCATATAAGTTTTTTTGCATTTAGATAAATTAAAAAATTTCCACTCTCTCCTTTCCTGCCTTTCTCTATGTTTCTTTCTTTATCTCACTTCCTGATTTATACACATACCCCAAAAACTAAGGATAAAATACTGTTTCATTCATTTTCCACAATTATAACCTGGACAGGAAAACCAGAGGTTAAGGAAGGGTAATTGTATAGATTTTATGTGGCTGATTTGAGATTCCTTATATTAATGCATCTGTAATTTATTTGACTTTTGATGCAAGTTGGGAAGAGAAGCAAGAGGGAGGAAGGAAAGCTGCAAAGACAAATTAAAGTTTTTGATTAGTTAGCAGCAATCAGAGAAGGATGTTCTTAGTAAAGGAGGTAAAAATCTAGTAGATGAAAAAAGATTTGCTGTCCCAAATTGGCCTAGTGTTGTAGAGCTCTAAATTTCTATGTGCATATGGGCAAGGAATTGTGACTCTAAATTAAGAAATGTGGAATAAATTACAAGGGACTGATCAGGGTCTGATGATAAAATTAAGGTTAGAGTTGACAATAGCTAAGTGTTGTCAAATTACCTTTATGTAAAAAGTTTATAAATATTGCTTTTTACATATGGTGTTTAATTATACTCTTTCATGTTTAAATACAGTATAGAGGTAGCATGTTGTTAGTGAATAGAGGGTTAGCCTTGGAGTCAGGAGAAATTGTATTCAAGTTGTACCTTTGACATATACTATCTTATTAACCATGGATAGGTCACTTAATATATCAGTGCTTCAAGCAGCTCTAAGAGTTGCCAGTAAGGAGGATGAGGAAGATAGCTGGCATCCAATTGGCATTGTTTGGAAATATCTACTTAACATCACCTCTTTCCCTCTCCCTTAATCCTATATCTTGCTCTCAGTGAGAAGAGTGAACAGATGTAGTGATTGCATGTGGAGCATACATACATAGGGAAAATCTGTAGCCAGGACACAGAGATGGGTAAATATTTAGTCAACAAGTCCTCTGGCTTGGTGGCTGCTATTGCTTCTGATTCTGTAGAGTTTCCAATGTCTTCTGGTGATCTCACAGAATTATTATCTGCTGGATTTGTTTCCTGCTGGGTATCACAGTTCTGTTTCTCCCTTTCAAGCACTGTGCTCTCTATTCTAACTGGTCTTCAGTCATCTTCATTGCCATCATCCACTGGAGATGTTGTAGTTTGTAAGCCTGTCTTCTGCAGAGAAAGTCTACAGTTGTTTCAGCCAGCTCTTTCACTCTCTTATGAGCTTCAGCTGTAGTTTTCAGGTTAAATGCTATTCTTGGGGCCACCTACTACTCTGGCCACAATATACTAAGGTATGCTGTAGTTAATACATCTTACTCTGAAAGGTGAGAACTATAGTCCTGTCAGCCTTTGTTTATGAAGCACTAACCCTCAGTTTGGCTGTACCAAAAGGTAGTAGAAGCCCAGACTAAGGTTATATCTGTTCTATCCTTTCTTCTCTATTATCTCCTCTGACTTCTTCAATTCAACTCTCATCTGACTTAGGGTCAGAAACCCATTAAGTTTTTATCTCTTATCATATGTCTCTGATTGGGTAAAATATTCCAAGAACTCCACTTCCTCAAACAGAAAAGGAATTTGAGTAAAGCTGCTATGAGGAACAGTTTTCAAACTCCTGCCACCATGCTTCTTTGTTCTATGAAAATTGAAAGGACTGAGCTAATTGGAGAAGACTTGAAGAGCTAATGACATGTGTACCACTTGCCTCTAGCAATAGATCAAATCCTGGTGTTGCTACATAAAGCTTCTCACTATCTCGGATGAAGTATGTTCATGACATAAGCCTACTCTTTAAATTATGTAGCTATTTGGAGGCATCACTAAGTCCTATAAATAGCTTACCTTAACAACAAATTCAATTCTTTTGAATGGTGAAAACCTCTTGGAAACTGAATAACAAAGCAAAACATAAAGTATGATCGTGGTAAATATGAGAGCAACTAACTGTAGTGGTAGGAGATGTGAAGTATACATAATGGAAAGAAAACTGATTTTGTAATCAGAAGACCCAAGTTTAAATCCAAGCTGTGACACTTTATTATCTGAACTTCAGTTTTCATATCAATAAAACAAGGATTATAATATTTACCCTACCAGCATAGTGCTACATAAATGTGAGTTTTTTTTAAAAATAACAACAATCACCTTTTACGGTAACAGTAACAACAACTAATGGTGATAATGTAGTAGAAATTCTGGTTATTTTAGTATTTAAAAAATTAACATTCTCAGTTTTAGTTCAGCTAGACCCATAGCACATATTCATTAGAACAGCTGATATTTTTGTTCCTCAAGGACAAGGTCAGAAAGAAGGGCAAGAGGGTAATGTATGTTTTCAACCTGGATACTTAGGCTATTTCAAAACCCTTCCTTTATTGTTTTGGTTGTTGCAGTGTGATGGAACAGACCTCACCCCAAAGATTCAGGAGCTGAAGTTCCAATGTATAGTGTTTTTAAATATACCCAGGTAAGTGTGTACTGTTTTTGTTTTGTTTTGTTTTGTTTTGTTTTCATGTCAGGAATTCTCCTGTTATAGAAGAAAGGAATCATGTATTTCCATAGTTAAAAAGTCATTAGGCTTGACCATTTTGTTCCCATATTAGATTTCCCTAGTGAAGTACACTGTGTATTGTTTTCTAGAGAAATCAGGGAACTCAGTAATAATATTTTGTATTAGTTTAGTACCTAATAATTTTTTCAAAGCACATGGACATTTATGATGTCACTTTAGTTTCAATAGTAACCCTTGGGAATAGCTGGGCACGAGTTATCTTTTTTTGTCAGATGCAATAATTGAAGTAGAGAGGTTCAATTATCATCTTAAGATCATGCTGCGAGTTTGTAGCAGAAATGATACGTGAAGCCAAATCTCCTGGACGCTCAGTGCCTTCTTACTTCCCTACCAGACGCTGTTTTCTACCAAATGTTCTCTACCATTTTTGGTAGAAATGTACAAAAAGACAATGATACATTTATTTTGTTTCCTAAAGCCCTGATTTAGCTTTAAATGTAGGGTTCCCAAAGAACAACAACAAACAGCATTTAAATAGAGCCCTTCCACCCAGCACTAATTGCAAAATAAAAGATTTTTATTACAAACGAACCTCATTTTTGCCATTCTACTCCTACCCCTAAAATAACAGAGCTGCTTGGATGGAAATTATAATGATATCTTAAAACCTGTTTTATTGGTACCATGGAAATAGTGCTGGGTTTGGAGTCAGTAAATGTAATTTCAAATACTGGTTCTACTTTTCACTATTTGTGTGATTTGGGCATGTTAGTTAACTTTCCTGCTTTATAAGACTCATTTATAAGATGAGGAGGTTGACTAGATGGCCACTAAGGTCCCTTCCAGTTCTAAATCTAAGATCTTATATGAGAAGTTTCCTTGACCAATTTTTATTCATGATGATAGTTTACCTGTTTGGGGTAACTGCTCCCTCCTGAAAATGAAGATGATGAGCTCCTCTAGAACATAAGTTTGGGAGAATAAATTCCAATAGTATATTCCAAGAGAATGCAGTGCCAGGCCAGATTATTAGGTTTAAAAATGCCTTTTTGCATTTGCAGCCTTCTCAACTCAATTTATTCCATTTGACCTCCCATGCTCATTTGTGAGCCCTTTACAGAATCATAGGACCACATTTCAGAGTAGGAAACTACCCTGGAGTCCAAGGGTGTCCTTATGAATAGCTGCATTAGATCATTTGTTACTTGTTTCTTTGTTTTAAGTGAAAGAACAGCATAGGAAACCATGTCATAAATTTCCCCTTTCCATCAGTTACACCAGGAAACTCTACGTTTGAATTTTCAACCCATTCATATGGGTTCTCTGACCAATATTTATTATTATTGTTATTTTGGGATTTTTTTTGTTTTGTTATTTTTGTGGAGATGGTAGGGGAAAGAATTAGTCTTTTTTTTCCCTCAGTGAGTAGTGAAACATATTGTTACCTCATAAAGACTTCAGAGGAGCTAATTAAAAGCCAAAGCTTAAGTACCCACAAATCAGGACAAGAATAATGTTAAATACTAGACTTCTCATTTCTGAATCTAAAATTTCACAAAGTAACACAAAATCATTTGTTAATTGCAAATTAAACAAATCTATATCCAAACTCCTTTTTTGTGTGGGCAGCTTAGGCAGTGTTTAATTCAAGTGTACCTTTCATAGAAACAGTATTTGGAGAACCTATAAGGTCTCTCTTAAATTTCCTTTGTGGGTACTTAGGCTTAGAATTGTCATTTATGCCATTAGCCTAGGGAGTCACAGACTTAGGTATTTTAAAAGATTGTTTAGGTTCTTCTACATTTTATTCCCCCTTTCTCTGTTCCTCTTTCCCTTTCTCTTCTTGACCCTGCTCCTTTTCTTCTCTTTATTCTGTTCCTCTTCCCTTGTATGTCTTCATTATCTTAGTAGACATAAGTGCACAAGAATTTGTTAAGTACCCACTCTTAAGGAGTAAATGCTTCTCATAGTGCTACCCTTCAGCTTACTTTCTATCTTCATTAGCATATATATACATGTGTCCCTGCCCTAAAGACTAATGCTATTCTGGCTCCATCCTGAGTCCTACCAATGTTATAGTACACATAAAGTGTGTACTCACTGTAGGTGAGTCACAGAATGAAGAACTTGGTCAACAATGAATTGGCTAGCATAATCCTCTTAGAGGACAAGGACATGACCAGTTTTCTCAGTCTGATTTTTTTAAATAAAATCCTGCTAGGAATATTCACCCCACTCCCAAACCCTCAGGAATGAAACAGAGACCAGAGGGAGATATTGCTCTTACTATTTTTTTCATTTGTTTTGATGGTGATATCTATTATATCAAGTTTCTTATAATTTCCATTCTTACCCTGCAGGTACTGTGCAGGCACAATGCCTTGGGGAAATCCAGGAGATCATCTGGATTTTGAACCTCAGCGCCATGATGATGGCTATATTGAGGTCATTGGATTCACCATGGCTTCTTTGGTAAGTATTAAAACTACTTAATGGGTGTGAAATATAATTTTGTTGTGTGAATTGTGATATATCCATGTCATAAAGCTTTTAGCATAATTTTATTTCTATTCACATACCTGGTTAAGAATACCACATGCATTATTCAGTATAAAGCTTAGGAAATTGTGGGGAAAAAACCATATATCTTAGCTTGGAAAAAAAAGTAACAACCCAGCATTCTTTCATGAGATTCATAATCTAGGGAGGGTTGCTTACTAATTTTCTTTATAAATTTCTTGCAAAAATTAAATATTCCTTCCCCCTCCCCAGCTGAATGTCATTTAAATTTAAATATAGACTCATCACGGTATTTTATATAAGGAAACTATTGGCATTTCCCACTCTCATCCATTAAAGGGTACCCAAATGATTTGAATGATTTCAGTAAAAAGTAGCTAGTTATTAATGCTCACATTTCCTTGGGCATTAAGTATTGGCACTTCCCATCTTTCTCTTCTTTCCTGAAGAAAACAATTTAGAAAATTTTATTAATTCAGGCCCCACTAATTGGGAATTCATGTTAATTAAGATAGAGAAGAAATTTGTATGAGGGGGTGATATGCTTGTTGTTTAACAAATGGGCTATTTAATCAACTTAAAATGTTTTCCAAGAAAACAGTCCCATACGTAATCTGAAATAACCATTAAAGCACTTCAGACCAGAAGTCTACTCCATAGTACTTTATTGGCCTTTCATTTCTGTTACCATCCACACAAGTAATAAAATCAAATGTCATATTTAAAAAGCAGTGACAATATCCAGCTAATACCTTGCTAATTCCAATTGGGCTCTTCAACTGAACACATAAAACATCTTTTAAATGACTATTAAATACAGGAAACTGGGTATATAAAGACAAGAACAAACATCCCCTGTATCCATGGAACTTACATTGTGCTGAGAGCATCTGACTTGTATCAGATAAATTGAATGTAAGGTATTTTGAGAAGGGAGAGAACACTAACGATAGAGGACATCAGGAAAGGCTAAGCATAGGAGGTGGGACCTAGGCAGAGAAGAGAGTACTTTCCACTTGTTGGGAGCAGCTTATGTGAAGGCATGGTGATGGGAGATAGAATTGGGAATTTGGGGAATAACCAGTATGTTGGTTTGCATAGAATATAAACTGTTTAAAAGGAGGTAAATGACTGAAATGACTCAACAACAGCAAAAAATATCAACTGAGCCTGGAAAGGAATACTAAAGCCATGTTTTGGAGGACCTTAAATGCTAGGCTAAGGAGTTTACATTTTATCCTAGAGGGAGTCATTGGAGGGTTTTTCATCAGGAAATGACCAAAGCTAATTTTGGCAGCCATGTGGAAGAATGAATGGCAGGGTGTGAGATAAGAGGCTGAAAGTCCTGCTAGGATGCTCTTTAAGTAATACAGGCAAGAAGTAAAGAGAACTTGAACCAGGGTAGGAGCGGAGTAACTGGGTGATGGAAGAGCACAGAAGAGAGAAATATTATGAAGATAAAATTGAGAATATTTGACAGTTGATTGAATATTGTGGCAGATGAAGAGGAAAGCATTAAGGATGATGATGACACTGAGGCTTTGAATCTGGGTGCCTAGAAAGGTGATGCCCTCTTTAGAAAATGGACAGTTTTGAGGGGGAATCAGTTAAGGGATGTTAATGAGTTCTCTTTTGGTCACATTGATTTTGAAATAATGATGGTACTTTTAGGTAGAAATGTCCAGCAGTATATGAGACTGGAATTCAGTTTAAAAAAAACAACACTTTAGCACTAGTTATGGAGTTTTGAGAGTGAATAGCATGGAGATGATAATAAATAATGATCCAGCAAAAGAGTTTCAAAAAGAGACAAGCAAAGAGAGTTCCAGGTTAAAGCAACATAACTGAAACCAATGGAGGAGAAAGCATCTGCAATAGGGATCTTATCCTTCTTTATGTCATGCATACCATTGATATTCTGGTGAAGCCCATCAGCACCTTTTTGGAATAATGTTTTTAAATGCTTAAAATAAAATACGTAGGATTACCGAGGAAGCCAATTATGTAAAAATTCAGTGGTCAAAGTGTTTTTTAAAAAAGTTCAGGGACTCCAGGTTAAGAACCCCTGATGTGGGAGGAGGCAGTGATAGACAATGTCAGAAGCTGCAGGGCATCAAATAGGATGATGAGAAAAGAGGAAAAAGGTCATTGAAAGAGAGTGGATTGGCAGACTCAGAAGCCTTCAGCAAATGAAAAGGAATTTTTCTAGGAATTTTGCTGTGAAAATGAAAAGAGATGTAGAACAATAAGTTAAGGAGATGATGAGGTCAAGCAAAGATTTTTTTAAAAGGTGGGTTATTTGGAAATGTTTGTTTTTTCTCCCCACCCCACACTGTTCCCAATTTAACATTAGATTAAAAAGTTATGTTTTCCTGAATATTTATAATTATTCCAAGAATTTGTAGAACAAAAATATCACAGATCAAGGAACTTATTGTCTCTTTCCTCCCCCCCACTTCCTCCACTACTTCAACTAGATCAAAGCTCATTTTGAGAGGAAAGACCAAATTTTACTCTTCTTTTTGTGTTTTTTTTTTTGACATTTTGAACATGTGTGCTTTATGTACAGATGACATAGTTCAAAACAGTTTGGAATACTGGGAAGAGTACTAAGTCCAGAGTTGGGAGACCTGGATTCTAGTTCTGACTGTTATGTGACCATAAATTATCATTTATTTTCTTGGGCACACCCCCTTCTCCCTGCTCAGTGTCATCACCTGTTAAGTGAGAGGTCGGGCATCTAAAGACAAAGAATGAGACAGTCCCTACTCCCAAGAAGTAAGTGCCCCTCTGAGGGCTGCTTCTTATACTTCTTCTCTGTCATCATTAGTTGAAATGATTTCTTAGCATCCTTCCAGCTCTAGGATTCTATAACTATGTGGTTCTGCAATCCTAAGGCTCACAGCAGCAATGTCATACTTTGCAGGTCCTCAGGCTAAACTTAGCTCTGAGATGCCTTCTTTCTCTTCAAGGTGACTTAGAGAAAAACTACTTTTGATTGAAAGAGTGTTTAAGAATTAACAAAGTGTGAAATTCATTTAGGGCAAGTACAGAGGAGTATAAACAAGCTATCACAAAACAGGCCAGGACACATGTATTCAATACCTAATGTAGCGTTCTACTTAGCAGCACAAGCACAATAATGGAATGGACCAGTAGAATAATGGCATGTGGGAGTTGTGAACTCACCCTTTTATTAAAGTTAGCACTGACTTGACCCTTACTAGATTCTTGTGTCTATTCTGGGCTATATAAATGAAGGAGGATGAGCTAACCTTGGAGAGAATCTTGATGAGAGAGAGAAAAAAAATGTGCACTAAAAAAAAGAACTAGTTTGGAAAAGTTTACTTCCTTATGAGATAGTTTAATAGGACTAATCTTTTGGGGGAAAGAATGTATGTATATATAAATATATATGTTATATATACACACATATATGTATATAAATACATACATATATGTGTGAAAAGTTTTACTTTTCTTAAAGGCAGAAGATGCATTGATAATAATTTTCATGAGAGAATGGACATATATTATAACATGAGACAATTAATTCCAACCTGTTGAAGGATTTATTTGCAAAAAGGGGAGTAAACTCTTTTAAACTAGTTTTGCAAAAAAGGGAGTAAACATTGGCCTAGGCAGTCTAGGAGATTTGGAAATCTCCATACCTAAGTATTGGAATATTGGCTCATTCTCCTCTGCAAACAGGCAAATTGACAAGATGAAATCTTGAAATTCTTACCAATCTTGTGTTTTCAGATGTAACCTCATTTTCTACTATCTTTAATATGAGGAGGGGGAGAGGGATTATAATGCCTTCCAGGCACTTCATATATTCTAGGTGATACCATTATTACTGCCTGAAGCTTTCTTTTTTTTCTGCTTTATCCCTAATTTCCTTCAGCAGAAGAGGAGATATATCAGTAGATATGAGTTGGTGAAGAGGAAATTCAAAGTTTAAATGATAGCAATCATTTTTTCCGACTTGCCTATTATGAATAATGAAATGCATACAAAATAGCCAGCTCTGGTTTCAGCTCAAATTCTGATGACTCAGGATTTGCTTTCAAGCTTTAAAAACCTACCTCTAAAATAACAAAGTTAAAAATATGGCTTATGTTGTACAGTTAAGTATAACCTATCATGTGTAACTATAATCTTTCATATTTCTATATACTCAGACCAGATGTGTGTCACATCCCATTAGTTATGTAATGTCCTCATATTTTCCTTCCCTTCATTTAGGCTGCAAAAACCTTCCTAACCTCAATCCCTCCTTTCTCTGAGTTTCTTAAAAATTATTAGATGCTCTGGAAATTTCAAATGCTTTTTTGAGATGGCAAAATTTATTTTAAAACTTAAACATCTGTTGATAATATTTAAGCAAAGAAGAATACTAATACATGCTTTTGCTTTTAAAAATAGCTGATGTACAATTTCTTTCTTTACCCACCACCCAAAACATAACCTAGTAGTTTAATACCCTTCATAAATGAATTTATTTCACAGTAATTCAGTGTGGAAATGGAAAAGGCTTAAAATAAGTAAAAACGGTTTAAGGCTATGGATCTAGAATGCCAAGAATACTTTGTGCTTTCCCTACTGACTAAAGCAAAGGACAAAAACCAGGACAATCCAGGATTGTTCCTTATGAAATAGTTTAACAGGACTAGTCTTTTGGGGAAAGAATATTCCTTTTCAAATAATTGCTTTCTATCCAGAATTTTCAAAAGAGACATGCTCAGCTTTTTCCTAAATGAAATGAATTCATTACAAATTAAGATTATCCTTCTTGAATGTTTATTCACCCGGTTAACTTTCTGTTAAGTCCATAATCAGATAATCAGACCCTAAGATCTGCATTTCTTCTTGCCAGAATTCAATTCTCTGATGCCCATCTCTATAGCCAAGAGGTCTCTTTCTTTGGTGATATGATTTGAAACGTTTTT